AGCGTTCAAATACTTTTTGTGGCCACTTTATGTAGAATGATTAGATGTAGCAAAACAAATTGTAAACATTTTCATTTTTGATTATTTTCACACATTTTGGAGGCAAATGTTTTTTTTCTTCTTCAGTAAATTCATCTTCTTTCTAAAACAAGACTCTGAAGTTTCTCACCCGCTGGTATAGCAGGAATAATCAGGCAGGCGGTGCCTCCAAGAAGCAGTATTACACTCTGGCAAAGCCTCCTTCCAAAGCGCTGAATGAGAGGAAAGCAGGACAGCTGGGTGGGCGGGAAACTCTGCAATGCCAAAGATGAGTTGAGTCAGGTAAATGTCCAGGCCGAAGTTCCCCACGTTCAAGCTTACGCCATAGTAAACCAGGCTTGTCACAAACCTACGATGGCATAAATGAAAACTGGGGTACTTTAAATTACAGGTTTACCCACATAAAAGCTCCTGAATGGTAAACTTGGATAAAGCATCAAAGGTATGGGGTAGTTTTTTCTTAACGTCTTACCACATTTTGGATATATAATAGATATGGGAAATGCTGGCATAACTCCCCACATATAGCACATGATGAGAGCTCTTTCTCAGGTAATGCACTCGAAAGAGGTCTAGCATGGTGCCTTTATTTGCTGTGTTCTCTGCTTTCATCTGATAAGGCATCCTTTCATGTTATTTGATCATTTTTTTTAAATTACTTTTGATTCAAGGGTATGTTTTAGAAGGAAGGAGTGAATTTTGTTCCCATTTTGTTTAACTGAATCTGAATTAAATAAAGCGAATAAATCTGAATTAAAATGTAATTGATTACATTTGCAATAAATGGTTAGCCAGTTTTAGAGCATTAAGAATGGGTGTCTCAACCATGGTACTGCTTCAACTGTACCCTATATGGGTACAGTTGAGACAAAAATGCACCTTGTTTATGAGCTAATTGTGGAAAATATAAACTGCGTATGGCTATTATTAGTTTATGATATTTTAGTACATAAGCAAATTAAATGTGAAAAATCACTTCATTTCGGCATCTAGTTTTTGTGTAGTGATGAAAAAGCAGAAAGTGTCTCTACTGTACTCAGTCTACCCTACTTATTTTACTTTTAAAGTAAAATAAATAAACCATATACTGTATACAAACGAAAACTGTAGGGTAAAGAAGTTGATTACCTCAGTTATAAGAGTGCTGGTGCCTTATAAACCCATCCATAAGTACATGGCGTCGTCGTGTTTATTCCATAAGCTTAAATTACCTCAAGATCAACAGGTGTGAACATCTTACAGCTCTCATATTGTCCGTTACTGTCCTGAGGGATTGTAAGGTTCAGCTGCTTCTCCTCTGTCAGGCTGGGAGCCCGCTCGAAGATCCAGCTGCTGTTGCTGTAGTGTGGGAAGCTCATGGCGGTGAAGACCTGACCGAACATGTGGAAAGCTGTGAAGATGTTGAGGAGACAAACCGCCACCAGCAAGCGCTTCCGAAACGCCCCAAACTCGCCGACAGACGACAGGATCTGCGCGAAGTCTATCACGAGCACTGCTGCACGACCGTCAGCCGCGGCTCGCGCTTAAAACACCTGCAAAACGGTTCACCTTCGCGGAGTGAAATTAATTTTTTAACGTGTCACAGGTTTAGCATATCTGCACGTGCTCTTATCTGTCACGACAAAGATAAAGCACCTTTTTCACAGCGATAAGGGCAGCCAAAAGATTTTAAATTAATAGTAATAAAATATGTTCTTATGCAAAAAAGGTATTTAATCGCAGGTTAATAAGCTGGTTCTAGTGGTTGAAATGTACTGAGGGACTTTGGGTCATGAGGCTAATGCAGTTGCGGCCTTTTTGGGGATAGTTCACCCATCATTTACGCACCCTCATGTTGTTCCAAACCCGTATGCATTTCTTTCTCTGTTGAACACAAAAGACGACATTTTGAAGGATGTTGGTAACCTGACGAAAAATGTGCCTTTTAAAATCATTTTCTACATTTTACTAGTTATTTATCAGTTAACTTCAAATGTTTTGTTATTCTTAAGTAGTTTTTCTTTGCTGTAAATCAAAATAAACAACTTTTATACAATTCAGCTCTGAGGGAGCATATAATATTCAAATACAGTAATATATACCAATAAGGAGGCATTTTAGGCACCTTTTAAATTCATTCTTTATTGATTTTAAAGCATTTAAAAACATGCCTTAAAATTCAACACAAGCTAAAAAAAAATTCAGTGAAAATATAAAGGAAAAATAAATTGACAATTTACAGTTTTTGCTTTTAATTTTTGTTGTTGTTGTTATTGCTTACAGTAAACTGACTGTGAAGGCGTCTGTCCTTGTACAACACTGTTCCACATTAAAGACTTTCACAAAAAGCCAGGACACTTGTATGACCTTATGAAATGCATTATTATTAAGACTGGATATTATTTAATTATATGGTATAATTATATAGATCCAGACTTGTATGACCTTATGAAATGCTTTATTATTAAGACTGGATATAATATAATTATATGGTATAATTATATAGATCCAGACTTGTGCGACCTTATGAAATGCTTTATTATTAAGACTGGATTCGCAGGTTAATAAGCTGGTTCTAGTGGTTGAAATGTACTGAGGGACTTTGGGTCATGAGGCTAATGCAGTTGCGGCCTTTTTGGGGATAGTTCACCCATCATTTACGCACCCTCATGTTGTTCCAAACCCGTATGCATTTCTTTCTCTGTTGAACACAAAAGACGACATTTTGAAGGATGTTGGTAACCTGACGAAAAATGTGCCTTTTAAAATCATTTTCTACATTTTACTAGTTATTTATCAGTTAACTTCAAATGTTTTGTTATTCTTAAGTAGTTTTTCTTTGCTGTAAATCAAAATAAACAACTTTTATACAATTCAGCTCTGAGGGAGCATATAATATTCAAATACAGTAATATATACCAATAAGGAGGCATTTTAGGCACCTTTTAAATTCATTCTTTATTGATTTTAAAGCATTTAAAAACATGCCTTAAAATTCAACACAAGCTAAAAAAAAATTCAGTGAAAATATAAAGAAAAAATAAATTGACAATTTACAGTTTTTGCTTTTAATTTTTGTTGTTGTTGTTATTGCTTACAGTAAACTGACTGTGAAGGCGTCTGTCCTTGTACAACACTGTTCCACATTAAAGACTTTCACAAAAAGCCAGGACACTTGTATGACCTTATGAAATGCATTATTATTAAGACTGGATATTATTTAATTATATGGTATAATTATATAGATCCAGACTTGTATGACCTTATGAAATGCTTTATTATTAAGACTGGATATAATATAATTATATGGTATAATTATATAGATCCAGACTTGTGCGACCTTATGAAATGCTTTATTATTAAGACTGGATATAATATAATTATATAGATCTACATAGACTAAATTCCTTACTCAAAGCAAAAAAAGCCTTTTCAGTGCAAGCAATTTATTTATTTTTTCCTATTTTTAGTGGACAGCTTTGTTGTGATTGCAACAAGGTGAAAATACTTTTGCGTCAAATCTTTTTTATTATTATTTTTTTTACTTCCTATTATCTTTTGAATTTTCCTAATAAAACTGGAAAATAAAGTAGGAAAAATGTTTTAAATTATTTAATAATATATATATTATACATTAAAGCCTAACATTAAAATGTCAAAAAGGGCAAAGGGGAATAATAATAAAATCAGGTGAAACACTGCTTTAAAATAATTAAGTTTAAGATTATTCCAGGCCGTTCTTGCACACAGGTAGCGATATGTTTAAATGAGATTTCTTGGGTGAAGTAAACAATCTCTCACATTAATTTTAAGAGAACTTCAGCAATTTAGAACAGACCTGCTCAAAAAAACACCAGGGAGATTTATGCTACCTAAGATCCCGCTGTGATCATAGGCACCCTCATAGACAAAGACAAACCAAGAAAACTCACAATGTGTCTTTTGTAGCTGACACCACCTCCCATCACCTTATTTATGAAGAAGGCCATGAGTGAAACATCCCATATAAAATCAAACCAATGACAAATTACATTATTTACATGCTCAATCGAGTTCATCCACATCAGAAATACACATGAATACTAAGAGTTCAATTCCAGAGCAGGAAAAAGCCAAACACCAAAGTTTCATCAGGTACCTCAGGTACTACTACCTTTTCACTTACAGAGATACTTATAAAAATGAGCAGAATAATGTCAAAACATTTAAACCAAAATTCACAAATTAATGCAGAATCTAAAAAAGGAGAGATATGTGTGATGCAAAAATGTGTAGAAATATTAAGGCAATAACTTTTAGAGCAGCATGGGATAGTAACATTTGCAAATGTGCCAAGTTGAGACAGCAAAAAAATACCAACACCAACAAGGGAAAAAGCCGTAAAACCAGCCTTTAGGAGTGTTCATTAGGGCCCAATGACACTAAATAAACTATTTAAACTTATTCAGCTTATCTGAAATATAGAATTTTTGTGTTTGTATTGATACTAGTCGGTGTACAATGAAGAAATCAAGCTCTGTGTATAACAGCAGAGAAAGTAAAAGTTGTTTGAAATTTCAAAACCAGATTCTGTAAATGTTCATCAAGCTGGTTTAAACTGAACGTAATTAAATAATGCAAGCGGTGTGATAAAACATGCTTAGCTGCTTCTCTTCAAAAGCATAGAAAAAATATAGGTTAAAAAAAAGCTATAACTATAGCTAAACCCTTTACTCATTTCCTCTATAAACTCCATGTTTCTTTGAGTTTCACTCCTCTTATACACTCTTAAAAATAAAGGTGCTTCAAAAGGTTCTTCACAGCGATGCCATAGAAGAACCATTTTTGGTTCCACAAAGAACCATTCAGCCAAAGGTCCATCTCTTTCTTACCTTTTTACAATCTGGAGAACCTTCTTTCACCACAGAGAAGCTTTTGCCAAACAGAAAGGTTCTTCAGATGTTAAAGGTTCTTTATGGAACCCTTTAGACAAAAAGGTTCTTCTATGGCATCGTGAAGCACCTTTATTTTTAAGTGTATGCGCTCAGTAGTTATATTGGAGGCATTTTTACATTGTTCATTTTTAGGGTGTCCGTACAGATTTAGCAAAACTAGGACAATCAAAAAATAGAAGAAAAGAAAGATAAATATTAGAAGAACAATAAGAGGTTATATCTGGTTATGATAATTGCATCCTTATACAAATAAATTCTCAACTTTATTTTAATCGATTCCTACAAATTCTGATCATTCTCATGTTTGTGCAACTCTTCCGCTGGGCCGTTTGAAATCCTATGGGCTGGTGCTAGGGTACTTTTCTCTTTGGCAACAGTGGTTTCTTTAGGGCAATTGAAAGAGGAGAAAAAATGCATCAATGTGTCATTCTGTTGGTAGTGTTGGTTTGTTTTCACATTTGTAGGCAAGTCATGGTCCCGCACAGAGCCAAAGTTTAGTTAATGCTGAGCTGAGCAAATCCCAAGAGTTTGACATCATCAGGAATCTCAGAGCCCTCAACGCCAGAGGCCTGAAAAACACCACGCATGACGTGTTACTGCAAAACACCAATGAGGACTAACACACAGTGGCTTTAACCAAACCAGAAGTCACTCACCAGTTTAAATGTGACATTTTTATTGGAATGAGGCTCTTCGACTATCTTCTGCAAATTAGCAGCCACTGAAATGACACGAAACAGAGGTTTAGGACCATGATATATTATAATTAAGAATTCATCATAATCAGTCTTCAGTGTCACATGATCTTTCAGAAATCAGTCTAATATGCTGATTCGGTGAAACATTTTATCATTATCTAAATGTATATCTGCATTTATTTAAGGATCAGTATTCTTTGATGACCAGAAAAATATATATATTTTAAAGCATTTATTTTAAACAGAATCTAATTTATTTAATGCATTCTTGCTCAATAAAACGATTAATTTCTTTAAAGAAAAATAACGAAAAGAATCCTTACCTATAACTAAATCTCTCCCATCTACCAAGCCGGCCGATACCAGCTCCTGAGAAACCCCATCTGCTGTGTCTACAGAAAAAGAAAATGCATGCGATGCATTAACTCCACTTTAAAATGACTTGCTTAGACCAATAAACTCTCAGTCTGGCAAATTACAACCTCCTGTATATTTGAACTGACAAGCTTGTAGATCTTCCAGAATGAGGCTGACAACTTAACTGATCAGCTGCACACAACATGCTACAGTCAGTTCAGAGAGCAGAATGAAGGCGTGCTCAGGCAGAAGAGCATTCTCAAACACTACATCAGGCCGTCAGAAATGAACATCTCCCCTGGAGCCAGCTAAATGCACATGACACTAAATGTTTTATTTTGGGAGTCTTGAAAATTCACAACACTGTGACGGCACTGACAAAATGCAGATGCAGAGAGTTGGTGCTCTTTGACATCTGATAGGGTAGAAAAAAATTTACTCTTGCTTTGCTTTGGCCTCTGCTGGAGATAAAGAGGAACTGATTCTAAAAGGGTGTTAAATTGATTTGTTAAAGAAAAACATGTTGGACAATAGAACTGCCCAAGTGTGTAAATCAAACCGATTGAGATTGACAAATGTGACAACTGTCAGCCACAATACTGAGTGGTTTTTCTAAAGAGTCATGAACACTTTGGGAATACATATGCATTAAAGGGATACACTCATAAAAGTGACATTGATTCATCAACTGGGGTCTTATGGATTACCATCGTGTTTGTTTAGCATGTTTTTTCAAGTGTCATCTTTGAGCGACCCATTCACTGCCAGAAAAGATTTTGTTTTCTAAAAATCTCAGTTTGTGTTCCATAGAAGAAAGAAAGTACACCTGGGATGGCCTGAGGGCGAGTAAATGATGAGTATCCCTTTAAGAGCGTATTGTGTGGACTTATTCAAGTGTAATTATTGCTTGATTTATTGTTGACAATTAGCCACATCTTTACACTCTTACCTCTGCCTGACATGAACTCAAATCGTATGTCATTCAGTTCCTTTTTCAAGTTTCTATAGGATGGAAGGAGAAATATAAGTCATCTACTGCTCCTGTTAACACTGGATCAATGTCAATAAATGGCTCAAAACATAAAAAAACAAACACATCTTACCTTAACCTTAATACTAAACTGATCGGGGACGGTGAGGCATCGGCTCCAGGAACTGGGGCCTACAGACAGAGGCAGAGGATCAGACTCTCTGTACAGACTGAGGTGGCCTAATTTCCTAACTTCATGCTTGATACAACAGCTTTGACTGGAATAGAGATGTCAAAATGTATGAACTATGATTTGCTGTTGGTGATCTACCTGCGCAGCGTTCGCAGCTGGGGTTTGGGTAATAGTTAGGGCAGTGTGTTGAGTGTTGGCCGGGCCCTGGCCAGCAGCTTGAGGTAGTTCAGGCTGGAGGTGACTGCTGAAAGGCTGGAATATCTACAAATACATGCACAGACCCACACAAACATTTATAAATTATGTTATAAATATAAAAAACTGTGAAATATAAACTCTGGTCACTACTAAAAAAAGAAAAAAAAGAAAAAAAGAATATAGTATACATAGTATAGATGCACTTGAGTGGCATCTAGTTATAGTTTGGAAATAAAATAGTTATTTTGTGCTTTTTGATTAAACTTTATTTAAAAAATAATTGTATTTAAAAACTTAACAGTGCAATAAAAATACAAAAAAAGACATGTTTTTCCAAATAAAACGTTTCATTACTTTTTACAATTGGCACTGCTGCACAGCAGGGTACAGTATTTATTTAGCATTTATTTAGCGAAATACAATAGGTCATCTACATATTTCATGCATACAAATGCATGCTATGTATCATATACAGTAAATGCATTATATGATACATAGTACATACTGCAGGAATCATACGAATAGTTCATTAGTATGGTATTTGGAAAGATTCCTTATGGTCTACATACCTCTGTATTCTGGAGTCCTTCTTTTACTCTTGGTGACTGTGAGAGAGAGACAAAAGGTCAAAGGTCAAGCTCAAGTCTCTTGTAATATATAATGGTTTGGGTTACTTTAATTCAGCTTTGGATTTGAATGCACTGTAGTAAGGAATGAAGCAGTGAGTTAAGGTCCTTCGTGAGTATTTTATTTTACGCTTGTGCTATAATTTGAAGTATTTCATAGTTTTAGTCAAATATCCTTCAAGAATTTAAGGACTACTGGGATTGTTTTAAGATACGCAACCAAATTACACAATATCTGCCTAAAACATATTCTATTCAATAGTATCAACTTCATACATCCAGTGTATTCCCAAACAGACACAATTAAACACTGCCACCTAACCTAAGGTTTGCGCAGACTTACACTACTGTTGTTTTGAGGCCAGTACGATTTTTTTAATCAGCAAGGACAGATAGACAGATACAAAGTGATTTCTAAACTGGAATACAAAGATCATGTAGTGACCAGAAATGACCATATTGCATGTTAGTGCCTAAACCAACAGAAGTCCCATTATGAGGCTGTTAAACAGAATCTGGATGGTTATCAGAGATCATTGATTTGGTCAGTATGTCAAATAAATAAAAACACGATACAGATGGCATCTAGGAAGCACACATCATCACTTTTAAGTCTGTCTCTCTGTTTTTCCTAGCAAGAACAGTTTGGTTACACTATTTTTGCTTTACCAAAGTTTAATCATTGAGATTAGAGTATGTGGTTAAGCTTAAAAAGCCAGGTAAGTAGGTAATTCTGTAGCACATAAAAGCTATAGGTTCATATTAAGCAGAAGATATTGAGCAAAAGCACATTAGATCACATTAAGCGATCTAAATGATTTTATACTGTACATGATTATTTCTTGCATAGATATGCAGAGAAACAGATTGTCACAGACAGGTGGAGGTTCAACATTCATCCTTAACCAACCTGAACTCTAGTATCTTTACTGTTTTAGTCTTTGAAGCTGGATATCAAGAATATTAGCAGATATATAATGCTCTCTAAACAAATTTTCTTTCTCTTTATCTAGCACTTCCAGTTCCTGCATGTCCTAATGTTGTGTCTGACTGAGTGTGCTTCCTTGTTAAGGTGAGCCATCTGTATCAGCGTGAAAACTGAACAACCCTGGGTGGGGGCAGCTCAAGAGGCTGAGAGAAACGGACTTGTCGCCTTGTCGCCTTGGACTGCTGCTCCTTTAGCGGCAAACACAAAACACAGAGCCCAGGGATGAGAGGTGCCATAACAGCCAACAGCATTACAAACACCACACACAAAGAGGGCAAACCACTGGTGCTGGAACTCTCAAAATGATGTCTTCAGCAAGGGTCTGAAATTATGCTTGTGTGTGTGTGTGTGGGTGTGTGTGTGTGTGTGTGTGTGTGTTACCCGTAAGGCAGCAACTGCAGCTCTGCCTTCCTCGCTCTCCTCATCCAGTTCATCATCACTCCATTCCCATTGTCCATCTTCTGTTTTATGGAGTCTCCCACTGGAGCCAGGAACTCGCCGAACCTACACACAAACACACAATATACAGTTAAAATTTTTTTTTAATTCATTCATATGTATTATTATTATATTTTTTACATTTATCCATCATGTGGAATAAAAAGAGATTATTAAAATTAGTTTCAATTAGTTTTTGAAATATCTTTCATTCATTCATTCCAAATTGATTAGGAGTTCACTTTTTGATGTTTGATTTTAGGGTTTACTTTGAAACAGTTTTCACTCACTCAGAAATTGCTAGTAAATTCACAAATAATTACAAAAAACTAAATTCTTGTAAAATATACTCCAATAATTTGTTTTATTTACGACTTAGAATTTTTATATTTTGTTTTTTACGCAGTGTATTCTTTATTGTCCCTGAGAAATTATTTTAATTTGTGGTGCTCTGCATATACATAAAAACTGGCTATAGTAGTAAAGTATATGAAAATGAGAAGCATATAATAATACTATATAAACACCTCATAAAACAGGGTATAACTCAATAAACAAATTACAACATCATAAAACAATAGAAATAACACCTAATAAAACATCATACTAAATGTTCCTCACCTTTCTCGCTCTTTCTGTAATTGTAGGTGTTTTCTGTAATAATTTCTCCTGCAGGAATTCATTATTCTGCCAAACAAAATGGAACACAAAGATAAATATTTTTTTTCTAAATTATGGTAATAAACAATTACAGTTGAATTACAACATGGGCTGACACTCAGATTCAACTCCAGCATCAATGGCCTAATTTAGGTATTTTATTTCCCCTGGATTTGAAAGATTTAGTGAGAGTTAACTTTGACCCCTTAATGAAAAATAATTCCTGTGATATGGATAGGTGGGCTCCACTCTCTATATCAATGGCTGCAAAAGTCAATGTAATTAAAATGAGTCGTACACCCAAACTGAATTATCTACTACAGTCTCTCCCAATACAAATATCACTTTCCTATTTTAAACAGTCTGGCAGAATGTGTAAGAATTTTATTTGGAATGTTAAGCGATCTCGGTTAGTTACAGAGGCCTGGAAAGAAAGGTGGTTTATGCCTGCCTAATGTATTGTATTATTCTTATGCTTTTAGTCTTAGACACCTGGCTCATTGGTCACTTCCCCCAGAGCATTCTCCCCCTTGGTATAAGATTGAGCAGTCTGCCTTGCCTTCAATCTTGCTATTACAGAGTTCAAATAAGAGACAAACACATTCAATCCTGGGTCCAAACCAGTTTAATGATTGGCAGACAAATAATTCTCTGCTGGAAGCTGGAAGTCAGAGGATGTCCCTTCCTTTCAGGAATGGGTAGCAGAACTAGCTAGAGTGGCTGCATTTGAAAAACGCCTTATAAGCAGACGGACAAGTACTTAATGGTCCAAGTACTTAACCTATTTGGAAATGGGACAGTAATAGCTATGTGTGAGAAATATGCTGATAGTGACAGTGTAAATGTGATGTGTTATAAGATGGGATTGAATTTATTCATTTTATTTCAGCGTATTTTATTTATTACGTTTTCTCATCATTATATACTGAAGGATGTTTTAATTGTATTTAATTATAGTCAAGTTGTGTCCTTAAAGCTGTAGTTGGGGACTAGTTTGGGATGGGTTTGGTAACGGGGTAAAATGTTGATTCAGAGTTACTGTATTTTATTTAGAAATTTGCCTATGAATCAATAAAACTGTTAATCACTAAAATAACAAAATTTAAGTTTGTATTCACTGATCTTTTCAATTTACACCTCTGCATTTGGATTCAAATATAGTGTGAAAACATTGTATGGATTCAGAAGAAATACAGTATGGATTATGTTTTGAGTGTGTTTTCGTTTTTGTTGTCCTGTTTTTGAGTATGACAATAGCATATTAATAATTTTTGTTGTATTAAAAAAAGCATCTTTAATGTTACACAGAAGAAATAATGACATACAGATTTGCAAAAACATGAGGGTGATTAAATGATGACAGGATAACATGGAACAATTAAAAAAAAAAACTCTTGGTTGGAAGTAAGATTCTTACCTTGGCTTTCTGGAAGAATTTATGTTTTAAGAGTTCTGATGATGTCGGCCTAAAAAGCAAACACTATTGAAATATATTTGCTGTAACTTAGTGTTATCAGGCAAAATCAGCATTAACAGTCATTAAAAAAAAAAACTTTACACAGAAAAAGTGCCCTTTTAGAAAATGGTTAAAGGGTTCATATGATGCGATTTCAAGTTTTCCTTTCTCTTTGGAGTGTTACAAGCTGATTGTGCATAGATAAGATCCCTGAAGTTGCAAAGACTAAAATCTCAAAACCAAAGAGATATTCTTTATCAAAGTTAAGACTCTGCCACGCCCCCCTAAAATGGCTCGTTCTAACACGCCCCCACATGTCTACCTCACTATGTGGAAATATTTGCATAATGCCGCCCAAATGTTCACGCAAAGAAAGGCGGCGTGGTTTCAGTAACCGCAGTTAGTGTTGAAGCAGCATGTCAGGGAGACGCTGTGTGTTTCTAGACGAAAGCAAAAGCACTTTATTTGGCCTTCCGAAAGTAGATGCATTTAGGAATCTTTAAGATCACTTACAACAGAACAGCAATGCATTTTATGGACGACCGTTTCGTGAACCTAGGAGAGGAGGTCATTCTGACTTTGCTATGACAATCTGGCGCTTCTGAATCACCTACTGTTTTGTTATTAGTTTAAGAATTTGCTACTGACTGTTCAAATGCAGAGTTTTGCGCATTGTGTGTGTGTGCAAGAGAGTGAGTGCGAGAGAGCGAGAGAGAGAGCGCGAGAAAGTGAGACACATCACAGTGGAGTCAGCTGTCTTAACTGTGGCTTGTGTACTGCAAACACATATTCATCACTGTGTCTGTCATGCGACTCTGTTCCCCTTTCGGGCTCTGTCTTTACATTTATTTTGAAAGATGAAGCTAGCGATTATGGTAAGGGGCGTTACATTTCCGACGAGTGCTTGCGGTGTTCGGCCAATCACAATGCACTGGGTCAGCTGGCCAATCAGAGCAGACTGCGCTTGTCGGAAGGAGGGACTTTGTAGAAAACGAAGAGTTTGAGAGAGGCGGGGCATAGAGGACCTACAATAATGCACAGTATTTGAAAAATAATGTGTTTTTTGAACATTAAAGCATGTTTAAATGTATTCTGTTATGTATTCTGTTAGCATATATTCTGTTACACCAAATACACAAAATAATGATCTTTAAGAAAGCATCATATGACCCCTTTAAAATCATAAATTAGCCGAATAAAATATTTGAGCAATTTTTTTTTTTATTGAGCAGGTCTTGGTGGCTGCCATGGTGAGATCACATGACCAGCTAAATACTACTTGACACATACACTACTGTTCCAAAGTTTGGGGTCAGTAAGTTGTGTTTTTTTTTTAAAGAAATGTATACTTTTTTCAGCAAGGATGCATTGAATTGATCTAAAGTGACAGTAAAGACACTTATAATGTTACAAAAGATTTCTATTAATAAAAAAAAGTTTACCACAAAAATATTAAGCAGCACAACCGTTTTCAATATTGATCATTATAAGAAATGTTTCTTGAGCAGTAAATCAACATATTAGAATAATTTCTGAAGGATCACGTGACACTGAAGACTGGAGTAATGATGCTGAAAAATCAAGAGAAATCAAATTAAAATTAAAATATATTAAAAGTTATTTTAAATTGTAATACTATTTCACTATATTACTGTTTTACTGTATTTCTTATCAAATAAATGCATCCATGGTGAGCATAAGAGACAAAAAAAAAACTTTTAAAAATCTTACAGACCCCAAACCTTTGAACAGTAGTGTATTTTTCTCACATGACCTAACAAGATCATTGCTGCTCTGCTCAGTACCTTTTCTCTGGGTCCCTCTGCAAACACAACAAGATCATCTTCCTCAAGGATTTCCCATATTTCTTCACCATCTCCTTGTCTGTGATTCCAGTCTCAAGACAAGGCGGATCATTCTGCAGGGTCAACATCAACACCTGCAAACACAAACACCCCACATGCTATAAAAACAACACGTTTCTCATTAAGAGTGATGCATGACAGTCTTGAAACAGCTGTAAGATTCATTAGAGCTCGTATGGGACTGTATCTCCTGCTCTTTCCTCACCTTCATAGGAGGGTATTTGTGGTAAGGAGCGGCACCTGTGGCCAGCTCGATGGCTGTGATCCCAAAACTCCAGATGTCTGCTTTGAAGTCGTAACCTTTCACCTGCAAACAAACGGTCACAAATTTGTTTAACACGAGAGATACATCCATATGCCAGCAGTTACTGCCAATTTTACACCACATTGAAATCTTTAGACTTTAAAAGGACAAAATAAGAGCTTTAATTGTCCATGTAATTCAGTCCATGTACAGTGAGATCCAACAGTTTGAGACTAGAGAAAATGCTTCTGTTTGGCATTTTTCCAATTTAATACCATGTGATCTCAGTTGTATGGCTTTAAATGAGCCGTGGTTGTTGGGTGGAAATACTTGCCTGCTCCATCACTTCTGGAGCCATCCAACATGGCGTTCCCACAAACGTCTTCCGCACTTTATTTCGAGTCATGTCACCACCAGTGGCTAAGAAGGCACTTACACCAAAATCTAAACAGAAAAAAAAATGTACTTATCAAAATGTAGAGAAAAAAAAACATATATATATATATATATATATATATATATATATATATATATATATATATATA